GAAGTTCACGGAGCCAGGAGTCCTAACTGGGCAGGAGGCTAACTCCTGAGAGACGCTGGGGGTGTACAACCCAAGCTCTCTGAGGCTTCCTCCCTGAAGGCACAGCGGGCCAGGGGTCTGTGTCCCCCTATTTCGCAAAGTCTAAAATGCATCACACCTTTGCTTCCGTTTCTTTGGATGGGAGCCTCGGAACACAACATAATCTCCTGGTAACTCAAAATCCTTCTGCCACTGTTACCCTGGGCAAAGGGCATGCAGAGGGCTGCGCCCCGACACTGAACGCTTCAGACCGGCGGCATGCAGCGTTCCAGCCGCATTTATTGATGCTACCCTGCCATCCCGCCAGACTCTCATTATTCTGCCTCTCTCCGTGGCAGAGGTTGCATGGTACATGGAGGAGGCAGACTGGCACGGGTTCACATCCTGGCTCTCCCAAGGCCCTGAGTAAGCCATCTAACGTCTCTGGGCCTCATTTCCTCCACCTGAAAATCAGGGATAATTGCTTCTTTGCAGGCTTGTGTGAGGATGATGGCCAGAAACAGTAATAGAACAGAGTAGAAAAAATATTCTGAGCACAGTGTCAAGCACCCAGTTGGTTTAGAACAAATAATAGCTATTATTTCTGCAGGTATATCATCCTGACCCCTTTTTTTCCACATTCAGCTTTGAAAAGATTCCTAGAGGGAAGCATGAATAGAATGCATTTAAAAATGGTATTAGAAACCAGAAATAAATCACCCTTACCGTAGGAGATGATGGAGCCTCCGTGGAACTTCTAAAATTGGCTCAGCCAAGTTCAACCTCGACTAGTTGAGAGAAGCCCTATTGGTAGGCTGGGGTCTTGTCAGTAACTGCTTCCTTCAGTCCTCCTCTGGGACTCGCAAAGCTTTCTCAGATACATTTCCACCTTCAGGCTGTTGCTTGTTGGCATGGCTGGGTCTGACCCCTGCCCCGCTGACTGCCCTGCTCCCCCTGAAGCCTGGGACATCTCCTCAGGGTCGGGTGAGCACAGGTGTCCTCCCACGGCTCCCTTCGCAGAGTCCAATCTTGCTGGTGGCCAGCAGCCTCAGGAAGTCTCCTTAGCCTCCCTAGCTTAATGAGGCTCATTACATTTGCTAAGCATCGTGGGCTTCTCTAAGACTGCAAGAGCCCATTACGCACGCATGCACGCACGCACGCACGCACGCACGGCTCCTCTTCGCGCTGGGCTCCGAGAGAGACTTCCTCGGGCGTGTAGCGTTCTCAGCCGTGGGAGGGCTGGTTTCCCGCACTGCCTGGGAATTAATGAACCCTTCTGGAGTTCCGGGCTCCTGGAGGACAGAATCCATTTCCGGAGCCTCGCAGGCAGACGGCACACAGCAGACACGCATTTTCTTGACCATGTTTTGTTATTTGGTTCGGTTTTTAATAATAGCAAGTTTGGGGACTCCGAAGTGCAAGCTCCTCACTCTGGCATCTGTGGCTTCCTGCTCCGGACTGGGCATCGGGGCGCCCTCGGCCTCCTGCTGAACCTTCCATTTTCTTAAAGGGCCTGCTTAGAAGCCTCTGCTTCCAGGAAGCTCCCTTGATTTTCAGGAAGCCTTTTTCCTCCTATTTTACTCTTACTCTGAATCCTACAGATACAGATATAGCATGGCTATACAGGGAGCTGGTAAATAGATGCTTTGATATGCCTACAGATATGGCCATCGTCACAAATACAGGTGTGTATATATATACATACACGTATATAACATATACACATGCAGTATGCATATATGATATATAACTATGCACATCCCCATTGTATATATTTACTCATATAATTTGTATATAGTATATATCTAGTATTTCTAAACTGAAACAAATGTCATTAGATATTATTTTATAATTTTGACATGCCTGTTATATATTAATAATATATAATTATTATTATATAAGTATGTAATATAAAAGTATGATCTTTTAAAAAGCCAGTCCCCTCTTATTTGACATATAGATTGTCTCCAGTTCTCCCCTGTCCTAAACAATACTCCCCTGAGATATGAGCTTATGCCATCAGTAGGCAGCAGCAGGGCACAGTGGGCTCTGGGGTCAGATAGACTGGTGTTTGACTCTCATTCCTACCACTTTCTGGTGACCTTGGACCAGTCCTATCACCTCCTGAACTTCTGTTTCTTTGTCTCTCAGGTAGAGAGAATAATTGTATTCATAAGGTCCTAAGGCAGGTGAGGTGCTCGACAAGGGGCCTATCACACAGGAAGTGCTCAGTGAAGAAACCGCCGCCCCGGAGGCAGAATCGCTCTTTCCTAGGGTGGGACAACCCCCATGGAGCGATAGCCTTTTGCAACACTTTAGCGCTGCTTGAATTTAAGATTGTATTGTTGTTGTTTTTTACTTCCTTACTGGTTTTTACAGGTTTCAGGAATATGTAACTTAAACGATGCAAGGGAGGAGTACATCTTTTGAGGGCACTCAAAAAAAATGGCTTCGCTATTTTATAGATTTGGTGAAAATGGTTCAGGCCCATTATAAACGATTTAGACAATGCTAAAAAAGAACAGAGGAGAAAGTAAAACTCCAGATCCCACCAGCCAGGGCTAACCACCGTTGGCACACTGACTGTGGCCTTCTCTTATTTGCCACCTTTGTGTGCCCAGGGCAGGGCAGAGCAGGCTTCAGCTGTTCGCTGACCTCGGCCAGATTGACTCGTTAGGAGCGGCATGCTCCAGCTCGGTCCCTTTCAGCCAGCTTCTGACAGTTTCATTAACCCCATTAAATCACGCAGGTGCCTTTACACCTCCTGGGCTTGTTAATCTCTGTTCAGCTCTGGTAAGTTAAAACCTGGCTGGGAAGTTGGATGTACCTTGTTAACCTCCATTAAACCCTATTAAATTTCTTAACTATAGTCTTAGTGACTTTTAGGAATCCCTCATTAAAGTTTAGTAAATCCAGTTGATGGCGACAAGGGCAAATGTTGTGGCTGCACTGCTTCAAAGCGTGACATTCCTGCATTCTTTGGTGGTGGGGTTGACAAGTGTCCTTCGGACCAGATGAACTGGGGTAAATTCCTCAGCCTCTCTGCATTTACACCTCTGTGAACTGGAGTTAATAATAGCTCCTACTTTATATGATTGCAGTGAGATTGAATGACTCAGTGCAATCTGGAAAACTAGTAACATGCCTGGCACGCATACTACACTTATAGCTATTATTATTTCTGGATATGGAAGATACTTACAAACTAAAAAACTGTTCAATTCAGACATTAAATGTGTCCTCCTACATGCCAGGCACTGTGCTAGCAATTGTGGATTATTTTCACTCTGGTTTTACGCAGACTGACGATCACCCATTTGAATGATCCCTCTTACTAGTGTCTTTGTGGCTGTGCATGTCACTGTTTGCTCAGGCTCTGACACTTCTCAGCTGTTTGAAGTTGAACATAGCTCCTTTCTCTCCTGGGGTCATAGGAGGTTGGCCTCAGTGCTTTCTAAACCTGGATGCTCAAATTCCCCAGATTTTGTAAAAATAATTCCTGGGGCCCCGCTTGAAGAGATTCTCATTTAGTAGTTCTCATGGGAACTTTGTTGACTAGATTCCAGATGAGGTTGGAGCTGCTGGATTGGGAAGTCTCGGGGCCCAATTAGTGCTTCTGAACTTTTTGGGCCCAAGTCTTACCTGGGGGAATCGCGTTTGTATTCCTGCAGTTCAGCCTCTGAGGTTCCCATTCTGAGAGTCTGGGATGGGGGCCCCTTTGGGGTTCTGTGCGTGATGGGTTAGAGGACGGGGGCAGCCCTGGGCAGTTAGACATGAAAGAACGGAAGGGCAGCAGACAGAGGAGTGGAGGGAATGACTTATACCTCATATGAAGAGGCCACGTGCTCTGAATATTGGAACTTCCTTTGCTTTCTAAAGGAAATCAACTCAGGGACCTTCTAAGACTAAGTGATGGCAGCCTTCTGCAACAAGCCATCATTAATCCCAGTGAGCGCCAAGACTCCCCGACCTCCCTGCCCCCCATGGCCTCCTGAAAAGTCACCCTCTGCACCACTGAGAAGGGAGTAGAATGGGAGCTGATGGAGGGGGGAGAGGAGGGACACGATAAATTTTGGTGCCACTTACAGTTTTAGAGCTCGCATCTCTTACTTCTAGTTAATAAGACAAAAACATTTATTGCATTTCTTTCCTTTCATTCTGATGAGGACAGAGACGTGCTAAAGTGGCACTAGTGACAGAGCTGACATGAAAGACCTGAGTCCGAGGCTTGGCTGCGCAAGGGGCTTCATCTCCCGGGGCTGCAGGGACCTCCACCAATAAAGCTCAGTCCGGTAACCCCATCATGCCTGGGGACTCAGTTAAAAGGCAGAATCTGATTTAGCAGATGGCTTGGTAGGTGAGTAGGGAGCAGAGACTTCTAACAAGCACTCAGATGAGGTGCCAACTGTTACATAATTTTCTGAGACACTTAAACATTGGGATATTTACATAAAGGTCTGTATTTCCAGCTCATCTCGTCAAACTGTAGAGCTGGCCACACATGGCATTCCCACAGGGCAACAGGCTGGAGCTGGGTAGTGCCCGCCCTCAGGAGGGACCTGAGTTTTCCAGTTTGAGGCACATCCCCTGCCTAATTCCAATTTGCAATTCTTCCTCTGGTTTACTTAGGACTCTCATTCTCCAGATGGTAGCTGAAGACCCAGAGAGTGCAGCTATTTGCCCAGGGTGCCTGGAATGCTGTGCAGCCTTCAGGCTTCAGACTCAGGCCGTTGGACCATGGTCCCTTTCTGTGCACGTGCGCACGAGAGCAAGTCCAAAGCCAGGGCCCGCATGTCTGTGACTGAAACTTACTCAGTGTGCGCTGGGACTGAAAGGGGGATCGGAGGGGCCAGGAGGAAAGACCACTGTCATCAATCACTGTACTAGGCAGCCAGGGGCCAGATGAGAAAGCGAAAGCACCAAATTCCACGTGGACATTCAAAGAGAACAGAGTGTGTCTCTTGTTACTCATTCAGATCGTTTATTAAGAGCGAAAGTCGGGCCGTCCCATCTGTGTGGTATTGCAACATGAAAAGTCACATACATTACTAAGGAGACCCCACAGAATTGAGAGCCTTTCAACAGTACAGAGCCATAGATTACAAAATTAAAATACAAATGATCCCCCAAGTTTGGCAGGAGACGTACAATATGAGGAGGCCTGGAATGGAAGGGCACTTGCTTTTCAATAAGGCAGTTACAAAATGGAAAGAAAACCCACACCCCCCACACACTCTGATGGGCATAATGTAAAACAGGGATCCTGTACAACCCTGTCGTTGGCAAGGATGTGTCCTTTATGTGAAAGCAACCGAAGGGTTTGTGTTTTAAAATGCAAGCTAGATGAAATAACTGATTGTAGACACTTCTACCTTAAGAAAAGGTCCCACCTCGCCCTAGTCTGTATTCTACCTGAAAACATCAGATCACCTTTTACTGTTCCTAACCATAAACTTGGAAACAGCCGGTAATAAAATGAAAGGAATAAAGAGGCACCCCTAAAGCACCGTGCTTCCCAGGGTCTGATCTTGAGCTCACCTGTCCCGTTCACCTGCCTAGCTCAGTAACAGGCTGGAAGGCTGCGAATCACAAGGCCACAGAGCTGTGTCTGTCCCGTCAGGGCCAACGGAGTCACACACGCTCCAAGGACTACGTGAAAGAAAGGAGTCTGACCAACAGATCTCACAGAGCAAGCCCATTTCATGAGAGTTTAGATTCTAGGACAACACTAAATATCCTGCCGGCACTTTTGAATGCTGGTCTTAAATTATAAGCAAGTTCTGTTTGCTCTTCTCATTCATTTTGCAAAACTCAGCTGACGGCTTTCTTAATCACTCACTCAGCTCTGAGTTCTGCAGGCTGGTCTTGGAAACCTCTGCTCAGTTCCTAGTTCTCAAGAAACTGCGGCAGGTCACTTTAGACTGAATGAGCCACGCTGCAGGTGGGAAGGGAAGGCGGCCTGGAGGGGGAGAGGTTAGTCCAGGTAACGCCTTGTGACTCAAGCAGGTTGTTGTTGTTTTTTTGTTGTTTTTGTTTTTGTTTTTAGTTTCCCCATCTCTAAAAATGAACTGGACACTAGCAACCTTATAGGACTTTCTAGCTTGAAAATATGGCACTTCTCTGACATTGAAGCATGTGGTTCCCCAACTCCCCCAAGTTCCAAAGCTCCGTTTTCTTGGTAAAAATAGTATGTGAAGTACTTTCAGGAATGTTAAGGTGCAAGCCTTCAACAGCCATGGAAACTTTAAACTCCACACAGAGCAACACTTTAACATTTTCTAGCTAAAGTTCCTCCTAAGTGATGCGAGCATCGGTTCTTGTGGGACACACACAGCGCAGGCCTCCTCTGTGCTGGATTTTCCCTGTCAGGCCAGTAGCGGCCCTGCCTCCACTGACGTCCTCCGTCAGCTTCAGCAGGCACAGGCGAGAGCAGCCAGGCTGAGGGCGTTTCCTTGGCATTCTCCACACGGAACTGAGTGCACAGTACTTAGAGGGGTGGACAGTCAGGACGCCAGTGTGTCTATCTGCTAGCTGCTCCCTTTCAAAAGTCAATTGTTATGCCCTGGGACAGTGTCAGCAAGCAATTAGATCCGTGGCCAAGATGAGCAACTTGTTCCATGTGGCCCTCATTGGGCAGAGACTCAGATGGAAGTCACAGAGAACATAGAAAAGCCAGAGGTTTACAAAGATAGAACCAGACCCCCCTGGGAGGTAGTGAGTTCTCTGACCTCAGAGGTGTTTAAGCCCAGACTGCTCTAACCCTTGGTGGGATGGTTGTGGGAAGAATGTCAGCACCTATGGGGAGACTGGACTGGGTGATTTAAAGCCCCTTTCCTAACTTTTAGATCTTGTCTGTACCAACTGAGGGCCTCCGGATGCTTTCCGTGAAGCCATCACTCTGGCTTGGGCCAGCCTATTGCCATAGTCAAGTCCCCTGGAGTAAGCTCCTTTTCCTACCTTCTCCCTTCCACCAGGCAGTTGTCCTGTAGGATGTCAACACAGAAGCTCCCAGAAAATAAACAGCTGAAATGCCAAGGTGAGATGCAACATTCTGACTGCAAACAATTATTAATATCTGTTCTCTGGAAGGCTAGCAGTGACTATTTAGCCATGACAGGAACATCTAGCAACTTGGCGGCTGTAACACATAAGTGAAATTCCTCTTCATTTTACACCACCAGTCTTGAATCTGTAGTTTGAATCTTTTATGAGATTCAGTTATGATCATTTTCAGGTGCTGTTGGCAACATAAGAGTTTGTTCACTGAAATAAGAAGTTTGTCCATTTGCTTTTTAAAAATATTAAAACGAAGCAACATGAGTAGCAGGATATTGGCATTTCCATGTGACAGTCTTCAGAGCATATGAAAAACCATACCAGGCCAGAACTGAGGCAGGAACCATACTCTCTAAGAAGACAACACCAGTTCTATTTCAAATTCCAGTTTTGCCCAGGAGCACCAAGAGAAAAGGCAATGTTGCAATGGTACAGGTGGAGAGAAGCACAAGAGTCCTTGACAGGTGGCATAAAAATGCAGGCAGCCAAGATGAACACTGCTTTCCCAAAGCCCCACTGCTCCCTGAAGCCTGACCCAGTTGCTTTGGAGGGCCCAGCCATTTCCAACAGGCAGGAGTCTCCTGCCCACAGATCAAGCCATGGGAAACTGCAGAAGAGACTAAGGCAAGTGGTTTAGTGGTTTGATGGAAGAACAGACTTCTGCACACAGACAAAAGTAAGTTCAGATAGCTTTGTCTTTTCTCTCACCTGATGTGTTTTCAAAGGTGAAAAAGCTACCCACAATCTCCACTTTCCAAAAGCAGCTCTCTTTAGAGGAAAGACGGCATGCGACTCAAGTGCACACAGCATCTGGCTGAAGGCGGAAAGGTTCCCCAGGCTTCACTTGGGAACAAAAGCTTTCTTACCGACACACTTGAACAGGTGGATTCTAACACCATATTCTTTTACAGACATGTACTGCTGTCTCTCTCAACTGGGAAAACAGATTTACTGTTAGAAAAACAGTGACATGACCTCCACATTCATCATTTTGGTTTAAACATCAGAAAGATACCCCCTCTTTCTCAATAAGATAGGGATATTTCCAGAGAGCAGGTTTCCAATGTCTTAACCTATAGACCCAGCTGCCCCAAACTCCAGTCTGATGAGAAAAAAACGCCCCCTGACAAAGGGGACTTGGTGTGCAACACCATCAACTTTTCTAATTTGGCCTCTCAGAAATAAAACCTAGATAAGCCACACACATTTGAGCCTTCTTGATGCCTACACATCAACATCCTTCAGCTATAAGTAGTGAGACAATCTCTAAATACATACTGGATCTGAATGACTAAAACACTCAGAGAGTACCCTGACGTGCCATCTGCAGCCAGGTTTATTAAAATAAGACCCTCTCATAGTCTAGAGTATGTTCTATGTACATTCATTTATACATATTTAAAAAATGCAATCTGCTAGACATGCATTTTGAACACAGGTGAAAGCTTTGCTGCAATGGAACACGCTGCATTTTAGGGAGAGTGGCGGCCCTGTCCCCAGTCCACAGGACGTGTGGCACTCTGCTCCAAGGAACCTAATCCACCACCCTGCTTGGTGGGGATTTTCATTCTGGCTTCTCTGTGTTGACACGCAGATCAAGCCATCTGTGAGGCATCGCAACTCTGCCAGGCCAGGCTGTCCACTGCTCCTTTTAGTTATTTAAGGCTTAAGAAAGAACTCAGATGTAAAACCGAGTGAAAAAATATTTTGACCACAGTGTATGTCAAGATGGTCAGAAATTAGCATCCACATCCTTCTCTTTTTCTCCCATTCCCTGTCCACATCCTATGCCCCCAACACACTGATTAGAAAATTTTGGAAAAGCAGACTTTTGGATATAAAGCTTTGTTTTCAAAGGATACTTTGGCTATGGTATAATTAGATAGAGGAAGCTGAGTGTCTGAACATAAAAAAAAAAAATCGGGTAATTAATACTTAAAAAAAATCATTTTAGCAATCTTTCTCCCTAAAAGGGAGGCAAATTGCTCATAAAAAATGAGCATCAGATGGCACTGATCTTTGTTGCTCAGACCCATGATTTGCTGCTGACCCTGAGCCGAGGGCGTCAAAGTGAGTCAGACTTCTTTCCCGAGCTGGACTTCTGAGCAGGGATCACATGGTCCTTGGCAGCTTTCGTGGTTGTGAGCTACGGATTAGTACTTCTGAAAACGTGGGCCCCAAACCTCTGAGTATCTCCATTTGCCAAAGCATTTATGGCCCAGGAGAATGGATGACATCATAATACACAACTTCACCCCAAAAAATGAAGCACAGAAGGGTGTGCAAAGGGCCGCGTCTCCTGTGAGGTCTCTGCACCTGTGCTTCTGGAACCTCCACCAATACAGCTTGGCACATGTGACTGTCCTGAAGTGCTCATTTGATGTGAAACCTCTTGTTGGTCCATCAGGATTTCCTCCACACTCTAGAAGTTAAGTGGTAAACCACAGAAATTGCAGCGGTGTGAAGCAGGTGTTACAAGGCTGGCACTGTCAGTGACAGCTCAATGAGCCAACAAATGCTGACTGAGTGCCTACTGCGTGTAAGGCACAGGCCAGAGAGCGGGACCAGGGTCAAACAGATTTGCTGATAAACAACAAAGCCTGCGACAAGGCGGGGCATCCATGGGCCCAGCACACTTGGGTCTGCTCATGCACCTCCACCATCACCTGCTCCCTGCTGCTATTACAGGGCTACATCTCACACACGGCAGCATGGGATTACAAGGTGACTACCAAAATATTTGTTATTCCTCATTTCCAGTAGCACTGACATAATGCTTTTTTGAATGCTGCAATACATACTTGTTCTTTCATTCTTTCTATGATCTTGTTTTTTTCAGCCCAGTAGTTGCCTTAAAAGAAAGTCTTTGTATACACATGCTGAACCAGGAGAATATAATCCTCCTGACCAAAAAGATTTACAGTATTTATCATTCAAACTTTTTTATTTATAATAAAACTTAAAAGTCTTTATGGGCTTAAATGTAGCAGATATCACCTGTGCATTAAGCATTATACTTCATTCCTGGAAGATGTGCTTCATCCTCACTCCAGCTGTTTGCTGCCCTCTGATTTCTGGTCCAGTCTACTCTTGTTACTCTTCACCATGTAGATGAAGTAGGCAAGGGTCTCTTTTTCATTCACAGGTATGTTCCTGAAGTGTCGACTGACAGTCTACATGGAGGTAAAAAAAAAACAACACACACACAGAAAACATGCATAAATCAGGGCCACAGATTCTAAATTGTGCAAAAAAGGAAAGAGGAAGTTGCTGCTAGAGCTACGGAGGGGGTTATGATCACTATAAAACTCCCTGCAGACCTGCAGGACTCAAACTGTTTTTTTTTCCCTGGGGTTTAGGTGACTGGGTTTCCAGGCTTCCAAAAGCAGGACTTTAACCCTCAACACTCCCAAGGTGCAGTTCTACAATAGCGGCAGCCAGCTGCCCACGATGGCATGATCTCGAGGTCATCCCCATGGACGAAGAGACCGGGAATGTTCTGGTTGGCCAGCGGCTACCATAACCTCTCAGGCTCTGGAACTTGAGAGCAAAGTGTCTTTTAAAATTACATCAAATGAGCCCTGACTGGTGTGGCTCAGTTGTTTGGGCATCGTTCCACAAAGTGAAAGGTTGCCAGTTCAATTCCCAGTCAGGGGACATGACTGGGTTACAGGTTCGATCCCTGGTTGGGGCGCGTGTGCAACCAATCCATATTTCTCTTCTCTCTTTCTCCCCCCTTTCCCATGTCTCTAAATAAGTAAGTAAGTAAGTAAATAAATAAATAAATAAAATCTTTAAAAGAATATGTTAAGTGAACAGATGTGTGTTCCCTAAGAGTTTTTGAAAGATACACAAGATTTGAAGAAAAATACATTTACTTTCTATTTCTGAAACTTTGTTTTATTTTACAAGTCTTAAGAATACATGTCTCCTCTTGCCCCACCTCATCCTATTACCTCTTTCACTAGGGGTGAACACTGGCAAATGGGTAATGAAATCTCAAAGTAGGAAAGGCTTGTGTGTTTCTGTGTTTTATTTGGATGGTGGTGAAGGAGAGGTTTAAGAAAAAATGATGGATCAGCAATATACCACCAAAGGAAAGACCAAAAATCAGTGGGGCTGTGAGCCTTTAAAGGAATCTCTGGCCCTGCCTGGTGTGGCTCAGTGGATTGAGTGCCAGCCTGCGAACCAAACAAAGGGTTGCTGGTTTGATTCCCAGTCAGGGCATATACCTGGGTTGTGGGCCAGGTCCCCAGTAGGGGGCGCATGAGAGGCAACCACACACTGATGTTTCTCTCTGTCCCTCTCTCTCTAAAAATAAATAAAAATCTTTCTTTAAAAAAATAAAAGAGACTAAACTCATTTAAAAAACAAACAAACAAACAAAAAGAAATCTCTGAATGAACTGAGGGGCTAGGACAGAAAAAAGACAGTCAGAGAAAGAGCTACAAAGGGGTTATCTCTGGACAGTAGGATTATATTTTTCTTTTCTCCATTTTCTAAATTTTCTACATTACTCAGAAAAGAGGGATGAGAGGGTACCCACACAAGTGCCAGCAGGACAGAAGCGTCAAGCCACACTGTCAGTATATTACGGTAATGGCCACCGGAGCCTTTCTCGCCCTCCACGCTATGCTCAGAACACAGGCAGGGCAGGAGAAGACTTTCTTGCGCTCCATGCATTGAAATAAGTATTTCCATTACCAACATCAGAGTAGAATAAACCAAGAGGAAAAAAAGAAAAAAAGCTCCTACAGAACATACGGGAAGGTTTTGGATGATTCGTCTGACAAACCTGATATGCAGGAAGGAACATATCTATAAAGGATCTTGCAAAACAAGACACAAACAAACAAACAAACAAAAGAACACTCAGGACTTAGAATCGGGTGCCCTGAGGTTCCAGGCTCAACTCTGGAATCACACCAATTTGTTGTGTGATTTTAAGCAAGTCTGTTCCTCTCTCTATGCCATGGCTTCTTTTATGAACATCAGAGCCTTTCCAGGTCCAGAGCTGTGGGATTCTAAATTGTGCAAAAGAGGGAACAGAAAGTTGCTTGCAGAGCTATGGAGGGAATTATCATCAACAGGCACACAGAGCAGCAGAGAGGCTCAAGGTCACCATGAGAAGCACAATGCTGGCTCTCTTTTTAGAGCGCCAGTTTGTCTACCTACTTCTGCTAACTGGGCCTTATTGAAGCCTGGTCTGGTCTGCAATTTGTAGTGTCGTTTGTAACGTCGTAGAGTGTTCACCTGTAGCTGGAACAAATCAACCTGGAGAGAAGAGGAGAAACACGTTATCCGTCACCTGACCAGTCACCACTCACCAAGAGCCCGCTATGTGCCTAGCACTACACTAGGTCGGGGCAGGGCTGGGGAGGCTACAAAGAAGTCTTAGAAGTGGTCCACTGAGGACTAATAACTAGATGGGAGGACAAAAATACCAGTGGAGGAAGAGTTTTGGCTGGGGAGGGGTGGTCCCAGAAAGCTGGCAGAGGCGGCGAAGCTTAAGCTAAGGAGAGGCAGGATTAAGGAAGGCAGTGGGGCACAGAGCAAGAGTAGGGAATGAGGGAGAGGATCATGAGCACAGAAAGCCAGGAGAGGAACAGGTGGGCGGGGGGGGTCACAGGTAATCCTGATGGGTTAAACTGTGAGACCGGATGGTAGCGTGTCAGGCGATGTTCCAGGAAGATGGGTCTAGCAGGGGTTTGATGGGTGAGGGACAGGCAGAGGGAGATACTGTAGCAACGGTCCAGAGTGAGATGATGAAGTGAAGCTTTGGCGGGGGCGGTGGACATGGTAGAGGGGTACACCAGGCACGGAGGGCAAGGGTAAAACCAGACAGACATCCTGGAGGAAGACAGGCCCAAGCTTGGCGGCAGACTGGATAGAGGGGCATGAAGAACAGTGGGAAGTGCTGTTATTCTCAGATAGTTCTTTCCTAGGCTCAGCCTCTGGGTATTAGAATCCTTAATGACCCTCCATAGAAAGCTCAAAAGCTACTGTGGCGAGTGGACAAATCAGTAGGTTAGGGTCAGGGTCTCTGCAGGTGGCTGGATGATGGAGGGGAAAGGACGCCCCCCCTTATCTTCTAACACAGGAAGAGAGGAAAGCTGCACAGTCATGAAACATTGAAGGCCCAGAAAGTTGGGCTGCCTTTACCTGCCTCTAAAAGAGATGTTCTTGCTTCAGGCAGGTGGAGAGCACTTAAAAACAAAATGAATGATCAATATGAGGGACCAAAGTCCTTCATTCTTTTCAAAACATTCCTCAAACCTTATTTTTTTGGAAAAGCATTTAGAAACTTAATAATCCATTTCTTTATAAAATATAATAATGCTAAAGGCAATCGAAAGATACATCAAACCAATGCTTAAAAAGGGGACACGGAGGGCAGAGGGAAAGGGCAGTATTTTCAAAGGTTTCCTCTTCTGCAGACAAAGGCCCGCCTACTCTTTCTCTTCCTACAGTTATTTTCACTGAGTGCTAACAGGCAGTTGCCTTATGAAATATTCATGCGTCAAATATTCAATGTACACTATAAACGGTTCTTCTTTGCTGAGTCTTAAGTGAAAACAATTTAAATAGAAAAAAGAAAAATCCAATAATCCTTCCTGTAGCCTTGCTTAATAGACACAGGCCCCGTGAAAGAAAGGCGACCTTCTGGTTTGAGAAGCCTCAGTCTCATGGTCTAGTGCAGTGGTTCTCAGCCTGGGGCGACTGTGCCCCCCCCTGCCCCTCTGGACATTCAGTGATGTCCAGGGACACTTTCTGAAGACGATGACTCAGGGAGCGGTGTGACTGGCACCCAGTGGACAGAATACAAGGATGCTGCTGAGCATCCTACAATTCACAGGACAGCCCTCCCCCCGCAAAAATATTCTCTGGCTGCAAATGTCACTAGTGCCAGGGTTGAGAACCCCTGGGGTCCAGTATAACTGATTTGGGAGCAAGCCTGGAACAGGAATCAGAGAGAGAGAGGAAATTGGAGCTGGTGTGAATGGACAACTTACACCTTCATTTTGCAGGCGAAAAAACAGAGGGGAAGTGACTCCCCCGAAACCATACAAACGCAGTCTCCAACTTTAAAAACAAAAACAAAGTTTTAACACACTTGACACCGTGGTTGTATTCCACCATTTGGCAGGGTTTTCTTGGAGAAAAGGCAGCATGGCCTGCTGAAAACGGCCCTAGACTGGAGCCCCGAACTGTGTGTGTGCCCTGAGGTCCCTGTGCCCATCTGTAAAATGATGGGTCAGTCAGACCAGTCGATTTCTAAGCTTTTAGCTCTCAGATTCAGTATTACTTTGATTCTATGATTCACTTTTCAAATAAACCACACAAAACAAAGGGACTAAAATTACTTGTTGGCATGAAAAGCAGACCAGGCCAGAGGTAAGGATCAGGTTAGAACCCCTTCGTCCAGCTTTCTCAAGTGGATTTTTGTGACTGTTACCTCAGGAATGTCGGTGTCGTGTTCAGGAGAATCTCCACCATCGTCACTTGTCTTCCTCTTCCTTTTATTTCGTACACTTTGGATGAAATTTTTGTGGAAGTCGCAGATATACAGGTGCCTTACCTGAAGGGAAGGAAGTGAATTAAAGTCAGAGTTGCCCATTCCATCGAAACACACCTGTCAAATTAACGGGCTTCTCTCCTCTTCAAGACATTGGAGAGGGAGAAGGAAGAGCAAGGTGCAGGCCGTAGTTTCTAGAAGTTTACTACTGGTTTTCAGAACAAGAAACCCACAAAGAGAACACTAACATCACACTGGGAGTGTATGATAAACCAAGTCCTCGTTGAGACACAATGGTCCAGATTCAGCACGGAGAGAGCCCCACAGCAGAGGCGGTCGGCGTGGATGCCCCCTACTAGAAGCGAGGGTTTATAGGTAGGCAGGAAGCGTTCCAGGTGGAAAGAAGATGAAGGTGACAGAAGGCATGAGAGAGGGACCCCCAGCGTAGACAGCATTCGTTGGAGGTGACTACCCACGTGAGAGCATAGGGCGGAATTCGGGGCGTGGGGCGCACATCAGAACAGCTTTGACTTTCCTTCAGACAAGACAGTCCCCGGAGGTCTTTGAGGCTGGGAGTGACATGCCATTTTGAGACCTGTAGGAGTCATGAACTTAGAAAAGCAGGAAAGGGACTGTGGTCATGATGTGCGGGACACGCTATTTTTACATTGATAACAGGCACTGTAGTAGCGTGACTCTTCTCTGAAAGGCTATTTCTGAGCATCAATTTCTAATTATTGCATTACCGCACATCTGATCCGTAAAGAGAAGTGGAGAGAGAAGCAGAAATTCTCACAAGTGGGACCACAGAGAAGAAGCTGCATACTACTGCTGATTTTCTAATACAGGTTGGAGACAGAATAGCACGTGAAGGCTGCAACAGCAGCTGAGACGTGAATAGGTTTTTGTTTAAGAATGTTGGTACCGGGTTGACTAGAGGAACCACTCAAAAACCTAACAGAAACCGAATGCCTATGTAAATGACTTGGGGCTGTTGACACTGAAACAGATGTTGCACAAATGTTGTTGAGAGGCTTCTGAATTTGAGTTTCTGCCTTAAATTCTTAAAGAAAAAAGTAAGCTGATAGGAAACCAGCATCCATTAATTCAGGCCTTTTCATGGAGAAAATAACAAAAACTGCTTTTTATTCAGATGAACTGTCACTTTCATGTGGTTCGATGAGTGAGTTGTGAGTAATTTTTATACTATGATAGTGTCTTGCAGACAGTAGGTGCTCAATAAACGCTGTGGCATCAATATAAGTATCCCATGCATCTAATAGCAGTTTAGGCCAGTAAAGTCACCATTTACATATGGTTACAAAATGGGACAGCTTTGCCAGACTCAACTCTGTTAAAGGACTCCTGGACACAGCATGTGTCACTGTCCCAGAGAATCCCGCCTAGTTGACATGTATACCACTGGACGTGTTTTTATCAGGGAAGAGAGCACACTCACAGCACATTCCACTTCCCTGCTAGGACGCTGGCCCTCACGTCAGCCAGTTCCGCTTGTAAACCCTGAGAGGTTAAACCGCTCCTCAGGTTCACAGTGATGAACTTGGTAAGAGAGTGGGCTGAAGGGGGGGTTTCCTAAAGCTGCGGCTGGGAGATTTCAGGCCAAGGCTCTGGGACTGCGGAATGCTAGATGGAAGAAAACTTAGCGACCACCCATGCAACCTCATGGGCTCCAGTCTCGTGTTCCAGAGGGAGAAGCTAAAGTCACTAGGAGTAGGGAAATGACCTGGCCAAGGTCACTCAGGCCTTTTGAACCCCCGCACATGTCCTTCCCTATCCCAATATTTTCCTTATACTATTCTCAACTTCCACTTTTCCTGGGGTCGGGGGGGGAGCCAAAATATGTCAATTGGAGGACTGTTTGAAAGTATGCTATATCTTAATAAATCAAAGAACACTGCCAATGTCTACATGAAATAAGTTAAACTGCCCAAGCTGGATTTTTGGTGCTATTATTTAAAGAGACTCTCTGTTAGACCTTTTCTACAAGATAAATAGCCACTATTTTTACCTAACCATTTTCAAGTACACACTGGTTTTCAGAAATTTCAGGGCTCAGTGGCCTTGGGTAGGGGGCGGGGTGGAGGAAGGAGGGTGGTTGCAAGGGCTGTAGTGTTTATTTTTCCTGTTTCATTTTCAACAGCTAAAAATTCTTGTAACACAGCAGTTCCTTAGAATTGAATTCCTGCCCAAGCCTGTGAGGATGAAATAGAATCCCTTTCAGAAATAATGACTCCACAACACCGCCTTGAAACAAACTGCGAGCGGTTCCACCTCGAAAGCCCACTCCTTCAGAAGCATTGCCTTTCGGGAACTCCAGGGCCCATCTCAGGCTGCTCCTCTCTGGACAGTGCGTGTGTGAAACAATCCACGTGGCTCGACGCAGGTTTTCCAGTGGGGTCACTAGGTCAGTGGGACCCCCAACTGCAACAGCACAATCGCTCAGATGTGACAGCATCCGAGGGTTTAAAAGAATGGGATGTTTCTTTCTTTTATGTAAGTAATGGAAAATATTATTATTATAAGAAGGTAGGCTGAGTTCATTACTATCCTGGTATTCAGCATTTCACTTTAACATGTGTCCTAATCCAGACCACCTTAGTGTCTAGCCAGTTGTTTGTGCTCAGATGAATTACATTCATTCATTCATTCACAGAGGTTTGTAATAAGAAAGCCATTAATTTACCCCCAACCATTTTAAAATAGGGTTGTAAATGTAATATTATAATTAACTTAAAAAATTGGGGGTGGGCCCTGGCTGGTGGGTCTGCGAACCAAAGGGTCCTCAGTTGGAGTCCCAGCCATAGCACATGCCTGGGTTGCAGGCCAGGTCCCCAGTAGGGGGCGCTCGAGAGGCAACCACAGACATGTTTCTTTACCCTTCCCCGCTCTCTAAAAATAAATAAATAAAATCTTTAAAAAAATATTAAAAAATCTTATAAAAAATTGGGAGTGGGAGGGGAGAGCCTGGAAGAAAGGGAAGGGCCAATTTTTTTATTTATTAAAGACTTATGCATGGGGCTTGAAAGTAAATCAGATAATGGGTTTAAGCAATTAACCAGCCTGTTAGGTGCTGTGTGTCTTTGGCACTGTCGCTGCCTGTCTCTGGGCCTCAAGTTTCAACAGTAAAATCAGAAGTGAAAAAGAGGGAGCCCTTCCAGTTTAACAAGCAATCTTCGACTTCCACCAACAGTGGAGAAATTTTAGTCCTAAAAGAGAATGAATGTTAGCTAGTCTACCTGAATATTAAACACCCCCATAACTCATTTCTGATTCCTAATCAAGATGTTGCAGCAACAGATGTCAAACTAAGAAGTTCCTAGTTGGTAGACAATAGGCACACCTTTAGAATTGTTAACTAGAAGAGGTGAAATCACACAGGAAAACTTTTCCTATAGTTAGCCACAAAACACAGGGCAATTCTACTCAAACGTAAACCCCCTCCTACTGGGCCTTTCTAAAGAAGTTATCCCTAAGAAAATTGACTTCTTCGGTCCAGTCACTTGGACAGCAAGAGCCACTTCCTAGTACCTGGTCTTGGCCTTATTTCTGCCACATGCTGCAAACCCCATTTCTCTACAGCTGCCTGCGAAGCAGTGAGCTCGGTGACCCTTTGCAGCATCTGAGGCCGCGCAGAAAAGGAAGTAACTGCCACCTTTCCTTTTCCGAAGGAATAACAGGGCTCCGAGAAGTTGGAGAAGAGCCGGGTCCCTTTCTCACCACCTCCCCAATACTTGCTCCTTCGTGGGTAAACGCAATAAACCCTCCTCTCCCTGCTCCAAGATCTAAACCAATAAAATGCGCTAAAAACTTGTCAATCTTCCCAGGCAGGAAGGGTCCTCGGAACCACCCCCGCCCCCCGGCCCCAACTCTGGGATTTGGGCAGAATCCTAGTGAGAGCAGGTCCGCGCTGAAGCGGCCTTTGAAATCGCGAGTCCAACTACTCGGTTCTCAGATAAAGGGCAGCGAGGCCCAGGGCGGGGAGGGCCCCGGAGTACAGCCCGTAGTACAGCCCGTAGTTCGGGCGGCAGCGGCCGGGAGCGGCCGACGCGGGGGCCCAGCCGGGGGAGGGGGGACTCACGCTCTTGTCGATGTCCAGTTTGAGTTTCTTCTGCGAGATGCTCTTCTGGACCCTCTTGCTGAAGGAGGCGTTGCCCGCCGGCCGGACGCAGCGCTCGCCGTCCTCGATGAGGCAGCAGCTCTGGCCGTAGCCCGGGGCGGCGGCGGGGGCGGAGGGGGGCCCTTCGCGGCTGTCCTCCTCGGTGCTAAAGCCGTTCATCTCCCTGTCCCGGGCCGGCCTCTCGGGGGTAGGCTCCCCTATAGGCCACTCCGCGGCCGCGCTCCCCGCGGGGCAGTCGCTGAGGCCCCCGCACCCGATGGTCCCAGAGTCTGTCTCCAGAGCACGCGCTGCCCTGCCCCGTGCCCGGGAGGCCCGGCTCCGCTTCGCCGCGCTACGGCTCCTGGGACCCCGGCCCCGCGCCTCCGGAAAGCCCCTTCCTCCCCGGCTCCAGGCCCCGAGGTTGGCTCCCGCGGCTCGCAGGGCCCCGCCGGGGGTCACCTGAAGGCTCCTTTTGCCGGGGACCCAGAACCGTTACCCTTCGGCGGGGACGTCCGGGAGGGCGTCCCAGTAAGCGGCAGCTCCCCGGGGACTCTGGGCCTGGGTTGCCAGAGGGTTTCGAGGGCCCCCGCCGGCTCCCGCCTTCTTTCGGCTGCTGGGCAAACTCACCGCCGGGCAGCTCCCCCGGGGTGGCGCGGCCTCCCAACGCGGGGCCCGGCCTCGAACCTGCGGCGCCCGGGCCCCGCAGGGCGTCGGGTCCGCCCCACCCCTGCAGCCGCTCGGCTGCGCCCCGAGTCCAGCGGCAGCCCCTGGGCCACCCGGCTACCACCAGCCCAACGCTCCGCACCACAACAGTTCGCTACCCCCGCCCTCCCCTGTACAGCGGAAGTCCCGCCTCCACTCCACCATTGGCAGCATTTGCTCCCTGGGCGGGGCCCCCGCCGCCGCTGGCGCTTCTCGTTGGGTCCTATGGCCGCCAGTCCCCGGCGCCTGGCTACTTCCTGGACTCTGCTGGGATGGGTTCAAAGTAGAGAAAGTGGGAGAGGGAAGAGTTCCCAGGTTGAGGGACGGAAACGGGGCCGCAGACTGTCCTGGCCAGGGAGAGAGGGTGACCAGGAATCTGGCTGGACGGGAGGCCAGACTTCAGGAGCAGAGGATCACTTTCGGGGACGGACAGAAGTACAGAGGTGGGCGGGGGCGCAGAGGACTGACATGGGGAGGGGCCTATGAGGGGCTCCTAAAGGGGATAGCGGTATCATGAAGAGAGGGACTGATTGGGTGAAACGGAAGGACTAGGGCCAGAGGACTCGCAGACCGGTGGGGAGACAGGGTGGGTGAAACAGGACCGAAAGCCAGTCGTGGTGAGAAAGAGGACAAACTCGTAGAGATACAGGGAAAGACGTGTAGAGGAGACGATAGGTGTCTGATGGAGGGTCTTGCAAGGTAGTAGGATGCTTGAGGGTGGCGGAGACCCCAGTCTGTGGCGACTGGGACTGGCTTGGTCCGCGCGGAAAGAGAAGGTTGGGGGGGGAGGTAGGCGACCCCCAGGGGCTTGGGTGATCCCTTTACTGAGAAGAATCGGAAGTCGGGATAAGATCTGGAGGTTGCACTAAGCTTCACTAAGCGGGCCACAGTGAAGAGAAGGAACTGCGGAGCAGATGGAGAGAAGGTTGGGGGTGGAGGACCAAGGGCCAATCTCGGCGTGGGTGAGAGCTTGCCAGTGTCTTGGGACCTCCCTGGAGCTCTGTAAGCTGCAGCTTCTATTGCTTTAAGCCTCCCGGTCTACCTGCGAGGTGACCGTGCCCTGCCAGGCCCCCGATCTTGGAGTTAAGTGCCTAGGGTGTCACACATACCTAGAAAGGCCAATAGGGAAATTCTCCATTGGGAAGCTTGGGGACAAGTGAGGGCCAAAAGCCCAAAGGGACTGGCCAGGGTCATGCAGTCATGCAATCATTTAGGGCTGGGCAGCATTTTCTTAGGGGGAGGGACTTGGAGGGGTCAAAGAGTGCTAGGTGAGCACATGCACCTATTTTGGTAGAACTAGTTGGCATTGAAGAAGCTTCTGGTTCTGTCGCGTTGAAAAAGGGAAAGCTGCTAGTTTCTGTGTTTCGAAGCAGATGCCCTGAGACCTTAACTTTTCCTCAGTGGCCTTAAATGTATTTGTACCATCGACGAGTACCTTCACATGCGGGACAGCCATTTCAGGAAATTGGCCTACCAGAGAAAATTTTAAACGCAAAAGGGATTATTTATAAAAGGAAAAATAACCTAAAACTTACACAAGAGAATTGGTTAACTATCTAACATCTTCTGAATGAGATATTTTGCAGTTATTTATAATGTTTTCAACATTTAAGCTAGTTTCAACATCAATGTAAACATTTTCTATATATAATAATTCAGGAATGACTCTTCAACAAAGAGCTTATGAGTTGGAGAAATGTTTTATGTTGTTAAAAATGTAGAATATAAAATTGTTTATAAGATGTGATGTATGTACATGTATGTTTTAAAAAATAAGAAAAAAGAGAAACTATTTGTACGTAGGAAATATATCAAAGCACTAATAGAAATTATTTCTGGGTAGTAGAAATAGGTTTGACATTTTTTCTCCTTTTGTTCTATGTTTGTATTTTCCCCAATAAATATTTATTGCTTTTACAGTAGGAAAACTAGAATAAAAATTAATGGAAAAAAGGCACAGTATTAAACTATTAAGTTTAATACTAAATATTTAATAAACTATTAAGCATTCCTCCCTCAGAGTTCATGTATTCAAAAGCAAGTTATTGCCCATATTGTGCACGCTCATTTCAGGGTTGGCCACAGGAGGAAGATGAAACAACCCTTGTCCTTGAAGAGGATATTTTCCAGCAGGGAAGCTGGAAATATACACAGAAAACAGCAGGTAGCTGTACAAGTCAGTGTGTGATGTTGGTTCCAAAGTTGATTGGTATGGCTAAGAGCTCTACATTTTCCACATTAATTTAGCACTTAGATATTTTTTCAAACAGCACTTGTATCCAGCACCAGACTATTGTACTACCTGCCACTTCTTCAGCACCAGCTTCCCCTGGCAACTTTCCTGGGGCAGGTGGCGGGGGGCAGTGCGGGGGCTTTCCTCAGCAGCTCTATCTCAGCCTTGAGGATACTGGCTTCTCCTTATATCTGGTGTGCCAGTATTCTTTAGAGTTCTCTTTACTTCTTACTATAGTCCCCTGTTGTAGTTAGTAACATCTTTATATTAATAATCTTTCCCTGTCCAAATTATTGCGTGGCTTCTCCTAACTGAACTCAGACCAGTAGCCCCAGCTTCTATATTTTTGGGGGTAGGGGAACAGGGACACATGCTTTTTTACTATCCTTACCTGCAATTTTTGTAGTCTTCAAGGACTGTTTTATCCTAAGCTCTCCTCAGGTTATTATGTAGATTGGTTCCAAAGAGTAGTATTTGGGGGGGGTGGGACCTGATCCCTTTGCTGGTAGTGTAAATCTGTAACTCCAGAAAGAAAATAGAAATACTCAGATAAAGGAGAAATGAATACAAGGGAGAAGCTTCTGCAACCCTTGTTCTGCTTTGTGTTGGATTTAAGATTCTTGAAATGGCCAAGAGAATATGATCTGTTACATTTATAAGTCTAGGTAATTAATTTACAGTAGTTGCTTAAGTGCTTAGAAAGATGTTGCTTTTTAGATTTGTAAGTCTGCCCTATCAGGAAGTGTTTGAGAAAATCTGGTTCATTAATTTTGTAACTGTAGTCTCAAATGTCTTAGGAAATTTGGTTAATTAAGGCTGTAAGTCTGAAATGTTTGAACACTGAATCTACTAAACTTAAGAATTAATTCAGCAGTGATCAAAGAACAAGGGATTGTATTTATTTTTATATGAAAAATTACTAGATTTATGGAATAATACAGCTTATAAGTTGAATTTAAAACCTTTAAAAAAAGTTAGGTTGTAAAATGGGCTCTTGGGTCAGTAACAGTAACACTCTTTTCCATAGCCAAACCTACCCCCAGATACTTAAAGCTGCAGGTCGACACCTCCTAACTTTACAGCTGCAGCTGCCACCTCTCTGTTCCCCAGAGAGCAGCATTCAGCTCCCTCCTTGGCGTGCGCTGGAGGCGTCGCTGACCACGAGGAGCAAGTGAAAACCTCCTCTGACAACCGAATCCATAAACTGCAACCTGCAGCACCTTGATTCTCCCTTCCTCTCACCCCACTCCAAGTAGGACCCATGGCTGAAGCACTTTCTTTACTTCCAACAGGTGTTTAGAAGCTGTTCTCTTTGCTTCTTTGCCTGCGCTCGGCAGCCCTGGCCAGACCACATTCTTTTGCGTGAAGTGCTTCACTGGCCTCTGAGTCAGGCCTTGGAGCACTCGTGGGAGGGAGCACCAGCACAAGCCAGAGCAGCCCACCGCTGTCATGCCACCCCCCTCCCCGCCCCCGCCCCAGCTTCCCGGCCCCCCAGCACGTTCAGACAGTGCCTTCTCTTTGCCTGTCATCCTTCCTGGGGTCCCTCCAGTGAGCCAAGTTCCTTTCTGCCTTGAGGTCTTTGCATTTGCACTTCCTTCTACCTAAAATGCTGTTCCACCTGCTCCTCCTCTGGCCGGGCTCCACCCTTTAAGTCCTAATTGAAATGTCACCTCCTCAGGGACTCTCTCCCACCCCCACCTGTCACTATCTCTATTAAGTGTCTTTTTAAAATCGGCGTTCATCACAATATGCAGTTGTTCTATTTTATTGTTGTTGTCGTGTGACTGTCTCTCCTACCACAATGTGAGGTGCACGAAGCCGGCGCCACATCTGTCTGGTTCGGGGCAGCAGCGCCAGCGCATGCACAACACAGGTGGTTCTCCGAGTAGGGACTCAGTAACCCTTTCTTTTTCTAATAACTTAAATACACCCAATTATTCCAGGCTATTTATTAAGTAAAAAAAACGAAGATACAAAGAAGTTTGTGGAGCGTAATTTTTTTCATATTTCCTAAACATTTTATACACACATAGTAGGGATGCATGAGAAATTAGTAATTGTGGCTGCTTCCACAGAGGGGACTGCAGGTCAAGGGAGGAACGGTGGGGAGAACTTGAATTTTAGAACCCTTTTCCCTGTTTGGATATTTTACTATATGCTTACACTTCCTCTGTAATAATAAGGAAGATGCCATCTTGGCATTTTTGGTGCTGTTAAGTAGGAAACAAGGAATGCCAAAACAGTAGGAAGAATCTCAGAACAAAAGAAAGTCATTTAAATGGAATGAATGTAGTTTTCTGAAAAGGCCACATTGTCCTTATTTTTCCCATTTTGCTGAGGAGCTGTGAGAGCTTCCTCTGGCCCTGGCCCTGTCCTGCAGCCTGGCACCTGGCAGGTGTAGTTATTGGCACTGCGGATAAGAGCAAGGCTCTAGACTCAGGAGCACTTGGTTTGAATCCCCGCTCTGCCTCTCTACTAGCTGTGGGACCATTGACAACATTCTTAACTATACGAGCCTCAGTTTTCTCCATCTGCAAAATGGGATGATACTAGTACTTATATGGCTATTGTAAGGACCAAATATGATCACGTAAAGCACTCAGCACAGTGCCTTGCACATAGTAAATGTTCAATAAATAGTAGTTGTTTCATCCATTACATGCATATACAATATGCCATTGTACCCAAGTTTGGATTTCTGCACATTAGGGCAGAAGACATCATATTGCAAGATGGGAGGGTAGTGCTGTTTTTTCTACGAATGTTCCATTTCCACACAGGCAGTCCCTATATCTGTCTGCACAGCAAAGATTGGGAAGGTAATTGATTATTTTATTGCATCCTAACCTTATAAAGTTGTGTGAATGAAGAAAATGAAAGTACCAATAGCAGGGATAAGAAGCATGTGTATATCAGGAGAGTAAAACTGCAGAATGGGAGAAAATGTTCACAAATCATATCTGATAAGGGACTTGTATTCAGAATATATAATGAACTCTTATGCTTTGATAATAAAAAGATAAGCCAATGAAAAAATGGGCAAAGGGTTTCATGGACATTTCTCCAAAGAAGATACACAAATGGCCAATAGGCACATAAAAAGATGCTCAACATCCCTAGCCTTGCAAATCAAAACCACAATAAGATATTACTTCATACCTACTAGGATGGCTGTAGTCAATAAGATAGAGAATAGCAAGAATTGGTGAGGATGTGTAGGAAAAATGAAACCCGCATAATGCTGGTAGGAAAGCAGAAATGGTGTAGCCACCTTGGAAAACAGTTTAGCAGTTTCTCAAAATGTGAAACATGGAGTTGCCATATGTCCCAGCATTTCCACTTTTAGGTATCTACCCAAGAGAAATGAAAACATGTCCAACAAAAACCTGTACATGAATGCTCATAGAAGCAGCAGTATTTCTAGTAGCCAAAAGGCGGAAGTAACCCAAATGTCTATCAACTGATGAGTGGATAACCAGAATGTGGTACATTTAGACAGTGGAATAGCATTCTGCAATGGAAAGGGACGAGGTACTGACACGTGTGACTATGGATGGATCTTCAAAATATTATGCTAAGTGAAAGCCAGACACAAAGACCACATATTGTGATTCCATTTATGTGAACTGTCCAGAAAGGGCAAATCCATAGAGAACAGATTAGCAGTGACCGGCAGCTGAGGGACTGCGGGCACGGGGTGGGTGGGGAGTGATTTTAATAGGTACAGGGTTTCTTTCTGGGGCAATAAAAATGTCCCGGAATTAGGAAGTGATGATGGTTGTACAACCTTGTGACTATGCTAAGAACACTATATATTTTAAATGGGTGAATTATATCTCAGTAAAGGAAGTATGTGTATCATTAACTTTTTATAATTGATGTAAAGAGAAATCACTAGATTTGATGAAAGGGAAGAATCTTTAGCCTCCACTTGATGTTCTGAAGCCTGTTTTTTGATGGGTGAAGGGAAATAATCACATAGAAGATGTAGTAGGAAAGGCAGAAAATACATCATCAAAGATTGTGCCAAAAAATGCACTTGTAATTGTAAATGTTATACCATTTTTTATTCCCTAGGAACAGATGAGCCCTGTTGACAGAATAAAATTTGTTTGACTTTTGTACTTTTGATGTTAGTCTCATTTTCAGAAACCAATTATGTGTGGAAGTAGGGGCGCGTGTAAACTCTGTCACAGGAAGGCAAAAAATCCCTGTGCCCTCTCTGCTTCTCCTCCCTTTAATGCTAGATCACCAAGCAAACTTCTAAGTTATAATTCAACGGATACTAGGAGACGGCACATAATTATTTGGGTCACTGGAAAACTCTAATGTCCATGAAAAAAATAGAACAACGTTTGCTTCCTAGATCAATCTTTTGTGGATTAGGTTAGGAAAAGCCCGCCCTGGAAAGATGTTTTATTTTGGCCTTAACTAAATACGTAGCTAATGGTAGCATAAATAACGATCATTAATAAATTTTGCAAAACTAAAATTCCAGAATCAGGTGGTGGTTCATCAAAAGTTCCATGATTTCTGAGGTCCAAGCCAGCTCTGCTGTGAGCTGGGGACACGATCGGGGACAGCACAGAAGCCTCACCCTGCAGACGTTAAGTGGAAGAGAAAGACATTCAGTAAAAGAATGAATAAAATTACAAAGAGTCTCATTATTCACTGATTTTTGTATTTGTGACTGTGCTTACTCACTAAAGTGTATCTGTAACCTCAAAACTAATTCTGGTGGCACCTGCCGCATCACCTGCTGACACGTGTGCGTGCAGTGCATGCAGAGTGACACAATGTTAAAGTCACCTAAGATGCGGTGTTCCCAGCTGAGGCCCATTCAGCTCTCATGCTATAAACACGTGTCCTTTTTGTGGTCTTTTTAGTGCCATATTTTTCATATTTTTGTACTGTCTGTTGGTGATTTTGGTTTAAAATACCCCTCAAGCACAATGCCGAGGTGCTGTCTAGTGTTCGTAAGTACTAACATGTGCCTTAAGGAGAAAATACACGTGTTGGGCAAGTTTCATTGCATCATTAGTTATGGTGCTGTTGGCCCAGAGTTCAATGTTAATGAATTAATGATCTATATTAAGTATAGAGTGATGGTGGGGGAGCTTAGCTCTCAGCTCCAGCAAAGACTGTCCCCCCATCCCCTGCTCCCCATCCCCAGGCAGGAGCTGGCAGGAGATCAGACACTACAATTCAAAGTAGCTCTTGAACAAAAGCTGTAAAGTTGCTAAGAAACCGGCTTTTTCTAAGGGTTCCCGGAGTGGTCTTTCATTTCTCTGGCATTGTGTGTGTTAGTGTGTGAGTGCACCAAAGGCCATCACCCCACCAGCCCCGAAAGCAGGCCAGACTTGAGCATAAGAGCTGCAGGCTGCCTTACGGCACCGTCTAGGAGCCCAGGTATTGCTAAGCAAGGCAGCCCAGGCCCTGGCGGTGAACAACCAGGAAGCAGCTGCCTGAGGTCAGAAGTTGGCAGAGCTATGAGCAGGAAGGATGCTTTGGATACTGAATCCTGAACCTACTTCAGCAAAAGGCCAGAAGGTCCCACTCCCATCTCCTGACTGAGCCTGGAAAATAAATCCTTACCAAGATCAGGGCCATTGCAAGAGAGATGCAAGATTTGTAGAACTGTGAATCCAGGCTGACCATGGTCTAATTTGCTTCCCTTGTCCCATTGTCACACAGAGAATCTGAGGCCTAGGGACAGGAAGGGACTTCCTCAAGAGCACATAGCCTAGAACAAATGTGGGAGCACTCTCCATCAGGAGAGAGTCTGGGGGCTGTGGGTGGAGGGAGAAAAGGCCTAACGCGTAATCTGAGATGGTATTATTCAATCAGTATCTGTTCATTCATCAAATACTTACTGGGCTCTTACTAGGAGCCTCAAAGCCCTCATCTCAGCTAAGAGCAGAAAGAAGGAGATTGCAAAACTTTGAGCAAGTTGCCAACTTCTCTAAGTCTGTTTCTGAATAAGTCATCCAGAGCTCCCACTCTGTGTGCAGCCAAGCACTGTTGATGCCTGGCTTCTACTCTCACTTGTAGCCTTTGGAGGATGAGAAGTGGAATCTCTCCCTGTCCTCTCACCTGCTCCCGGGAAGACCGACCTTCCCAGCACTCAGTGACTGAGGCGGCACCACGGGCCAGCTGCCTTGGATTTGTTTCTCACCGTGTAGGCTCTGGGTCAGCCAAGGGCACATGCTCTCACTCTGCCCAGTTTAAAACTCTGTAATGGCCCTGCCTGGTGTAGCTCAGTTGCTTGGGTATCATCCCGCAAGGCAAAGGGTCATCAGTTTGATTCCTGGTCAGGGCACACGCCTGGGTTGTGGGCTCAGTCTCTGGTCGGGGCCTGCGCGAGAGGCAACTGATTGATGTTTCTCACATTGCTCTCTCTCTCTCTCTCTCTCTCTCTCTCTCTCTAAGACACACACACACACACACACACACATACACACACACACACACACATTTTTTTAAAAAAACCCTTTAATGGTTCCTACTGATTTTAAAACAAAGATCAGAGACTCCTTAAATGGCCTAACAGGGTCCGGTCGCTGCCCACCTCCTGCTTCCTGTCTCTTTCCTGTTCTGCTCCAGCCTCACTGGCCTTCCTGTCTGGGGTCTCCCTACACAGCGTCTTTGCACCTGCTGCCCCCAGCACCTGGAATGTTCTTTTTTTTTCCTAGTTAGAGTTTAAGCTTTTAAAAGAAATCATTACAATTTTTAGAAGAAAATTATCTTGTTCATGGGTGGTTCACGATTTTTCAAAAAACAATGGAAGCTGCAAAAGGAAATAGAGACCCTCTCAGGGCTCAAGCCACAGTGGCCCGCGAACACTTCCCCCTTCTGCGCATCGGCCTTCTCCAGGCTGTGGTCCGCAGCGCCCTCTGGTGGGCCCTGAGTGACAGCACAGCAGGCAGCTTCTGCTCACGGTCACCGACAGCCCCATGCCGAGACTCAACCGCAGGAACAGAGGTGGAGCTGGAAGCATCATCCAAAAACTTCCGTTACTGAGGAAAACTGAGGCCACAAACGGGGCAGGGTTTGCACAAGATCTCACCGAGTCTGTTGCAGAGCCGGCCGGCCAGGGCTCCTTCCACCACGTGGTATTACACAAATCTAATACCCAAAAGCATCAACATGTTTTGGTAAATAGGGACTTGGAGCTGTGAACATCAGAAACGAGCTAAGCTTGTTTCGTATTGTCCCCTAGAAGCCCTCCACCCGTGCGCGTACTCTGTCAGGCCGCGCCTAACCCCGCGGGCCCACCTGTGCCTCCCTCCTAGGAAGACCTGACGCCTCAGGGACAATTAGCTGTTCTCTTTGCCTAGAACTCCCCCGACCCCAGCCTCTGCCTCTTAGGCTCTCCGCCCTTGTATTTTTCAGCTCTTGCAGAAAGGCATTCCCTGACCATCCTACCTGACATTGAGCAAATCGCCAAGTTCTCTAAATCTGTTTCTGAATATGCCACTCCAGTCTCTCAAATATCTTGCTTCATATCCTTTATAGCACTACCCGCATCTAAAAATCACCTTGATTTGTTGTTTTAGGTCCGCCTTCCCCTCTAGAAGGACGGCTGTTGAGAATTTGTTCAGTACCCAGCAGAGGGCCTGGGTGCTGAGCAGGTGTTCAGTGAATACGTGGGGGAACGGCGGAATGGAGAATGGTGCGTGACCCGGAATAAACGAGAGACCACGTTAGAGAAAGTCTGGAGGTTTACTCAACAACAATCACAGTTGTACACGTAAGTCAGTTCTTCACAAGGCTCACTTTTCCAGGCAGGAGAAGAGAGGCTGGCAGTCTTGAGCTTTCTCTATGGAGTCCCAGTCTGACTTCTCAAATACTCCCTGCCTGTAATTCCCTAGGACCCTGGTCTTTGAGCCCAAACAGAACGGGAGCCCCCACCCCCACCCAATGTCTGGCATGCGGGTGGGGGTGGGGGGAATCAAAGCCATTTTGGGAGCAGATGTTAACAGGACCTTGTCAATTGGAATGTAGGCCCAATACCCACCCCAAAGGAGGCAGTGGGCCTTGGCTCAAGATCAAATGTGAACTAAAATATTACGACTTGGATTTCCAGAGAACGTCAGTTGAAAGCAGAAAGGAGTTCAAGAATAGAACTGCACTCCTTGCCCCTCTCCCACACTTGGAAATCTTTAGAAAACACTCCAAATGCATCATCTCCTAGGAATTATAAAAGATGACCCAATCTGTACATACCAGGGGTCGTAAAAGCAAGGACTCCAGGTTTCCCAGTTACACCTGCAAAGTGCTTTGCCACTCGTGAGACTCCAGAGACTAGAGCAATGGAGATGCACAGAAAGAAACATGGAACCATTTTCAAGCATGTCACTGACTTCTTAGGGAGAAGAAATTCAACAGGTAGGAGGTGTGAGAAGTGAATATAATGCGGACGTGGGGAATCCATGTACTCCAACAACTCCTTTCTCCCCTGAACCTCATGTCAGATCTCTTTACATAAGTACCCCCTCTGCCTCTGAGCTATTGCTTCCTGACGGGGAGAATCGACAGTTTCTGGACTGCATTCAAAGTTGTAATCAGCTCCAGTTGGAGGCATAAAGTGCCATGGCTTTCCACGCCTGTGCCTGCACATTTGGCCACGTCCAAAGGCCTTGTACTTTGAGCAAAGATGCTCTTTGTATTTCAAAATGTTGCTGGAGTCCCCTTTGGAAAGGCTGCTGGTGGGCCACATGCTAGCCACTCATTTGTTTTGTGACCTCATGCTCAGAATAAGGGTTTTAGAGGAAAAGGGGCCCCTATTCTCACTCCTTACCTGGCACATAGCCTCTCCATGGCCTCCTGGCTGTTCTGTTTGGGCATCAGCTGGGCATGTGAGCAAATCTAAATCTTAAGGGCGGCTAAAAACAAAAACAACAAACAAAACCCAAGGCCAAAACAATGAGTGGTCAGTATCTGCCATCAGCCAGTTGGTCAGCCAGGCAACGAACTTGTCTCCTGCCATCCCTATCACACACTTTGTCAACGGGGGCATCTACGTATGTGGGCTCAGCAATGACAAATGCCAGGGTGCTCAGGGGACCTGCTCATCCCTTGTTGAGGGGGCAGAACCAGGCTCAAAAGAAGACCCAGGGGTTGGGAGGAAGGCTGAGGACTGCTTGGGGCTGCTCCTGCTTCCCACACGAGTCCTGGTCGCGGAGAACACTGTCATCCACGTGCTGTGGGACCATCTGGAAATGCAGCCAGTGCTCTGCGCTCTGCCTGGGGCTGAGATGGGGGACTGCCGGCAGGGCCTCCAAACAGGGCTCTCTCCCAGGGGCTCCTGAGGCCCTTCTAGGCCACAGGCCACAGGAGCTGTCCTGCTGCCCTTTCAACCTGGAGTGTTACACTAGCTGCCCTTGGGGGCATCTCCATCTCAGACCCTGCTCTAGGCCCAACGTCTCCTGCTTGAAATTAGACATTAAGAAACACACACTCATCCAATAGGAACTACACACACCACCAAAAACATCCTCCCCCCTCCCCGACCCCTGCCTCTTTATGTTTGTCTAGCAAGGCACTAGGAAATGGTTCAAGTTTAGGGATTTGCTGTACATTTGCATTTTTTTCTTTTTAAAAAGGCACAGTTTTTATTTTAATGATGCTGCATTGCTCTCTGATGATGCATCCTAAGTCAACTGTCCAAACTGCAACACTCTGGTTACCTTAGATTCTGGAAGAGGCCTGATCTTTTGACTCCTTCCTGTTGAGGACCACTTCTATAGGTGTAATGCTCATTTGGAAGAGACACTAGGGCTCAACGAGCAGGCTTTGCGAGTACCGGGACAGCCTCTCCTGCGGAGAGGTGGCCAGAGCTGCACTTGTACGGGGTGGGGGAGAGGAAGTGGGGTGGGGAGAGAGGGGGAAGTGATGCTTTGCCAGCTGCACGCTTAATTGGGGTGGTCGTGACCAGGAATGTTTATGCCTCCCTCCCCAGGATCACTGATGGCCTTGAGATCAGCCAGCATCTCAAAGGCAGATTTGTGGCTCTGTTCCCAGATTTATGTCTCAGTTATTTAATTGGCAAATGATACAATCGAGAGGCCCAGCTCTAATTGGAATACTGATTTCAAGTATTTCCTGGGCTAGCTGACGGAAGCCATAGGTTGTAGAATGTGATTTCCATTTCTGAATCAGTGGGTGGCAGGCTGGTTACAGAAATGCTTCCTATTAGTTTGGGAGCCCTCTGGGAGTCTGACATGTAATTAACTAAGCAAAAGGTAAACAGGAAGGGCTGGCGTGGAGCTGGGCATGCATCTGTCCCTGGGACTCAGGTTCTTTTCTTCATTGCGGCTAGAATGGTGGGAGGCTGCAGGGCTTTGGATCTGCGCTGAGAACCCTGCTACAGCAAGGCGTCGGGGAGGAGCTGATGAACACAGCCCCCCCAATACCACCAACCTGGGATTTCACAGATTGTCTCTAGGCTGACGGCTGCCTGGGCGGTATCACACCAGGCTGGCTCCTTTAATCACAGTATTCTAGGAATCCGCGGGGCCCCAGAATGCCAGAATCCTGTGTAGCATTCTAGTTTGTGATCAAATTACAGACTTCTTTAAAAACTCTAGTTCGGTATCAGAACTAGAACCATGATGAGGTCAGAGACTAGGCGTCTTGGCCATGGACAACCCTGGCGGCCTCCAGACTTTGAGAGGTGAGCACTTCGTACCTCCGCTGCTCTAGGGAGGGAGGGGGAGGAGGAGGGATGGGTGGGGAGGGGAGGGGTGGGGGAGAGGAGGGGAGGGGAGAGGAGGGGAGGGGAGAGGAGACAGAAGCACTGACCAAGGAAATTCAGCCAGAATTCCTAGTTTGGAGATCATCTACTAGGCCTTTTCCAGGGCCCACGGCCATCTGAAACAGTCTGAAAAAGCTGGTGGCTGAGCTGTCCCTGTGCCCGGAGGGCACTAAAATGGGCATTTCAAGTACCCAGAGAGCAAGCGGTAACACCCTGTGTGTCCACAGCTGCAAAGGAACGCCTGAGGGTCCAGTCCCTGACCCCAGGCCTGGCGGCTGGCCGGCGTCCGATACCGAACACTCTGAGGGCCCCAGGTGGGGCCTTCGACTGCATTACCTGGGGCTGTGACAGGGCGCAGAAGCGTGCCAGGAACTGCATTTACCCCCGTGGTGGGCAGACGTGAAAAGGCTGAAACCAGCGTCCCCAAGAAACACTCCTTTCTTTTCCCCTGCAGATGGGTGACGATGAGCTAGCAAAGTTTGCTTCCCTTTCTAAAGGACTGTCATATACACGCCTCCTTTTTGGGTGGCCTAGGGCTGCCCTGGCATTTCTCCTGCTCAAGGGAACAAGGTGACAAAGCTGAGCAGGCCCGCCGGGTTTCCACGGTACTGTCAGGAGTTACAGCAGGGCCTGTGCCCTCGTGGGGCCTCTTGTGGGGTCTGCACCCCACACGGTCCCCGCAGCGCAGGCCCCACACCAGGCAGACGCCTGGCTCCCGCTTCAGGAGCCCGCTCCGCCCTGCGCCGGCTGGCCGGCACCTTCCGTCCCGGTGCCCACGGAAACCCTGCAGCGAGCGGCATGGGGACCCTGCCAGGCCTGCCGTGGGCGTGCAGGCTCAGTTGCTATTGAATTTCTCCAGGACTGTTGAGTTGGTATGTTCAAACAGCCACTGCTGGGTGGGAGAGGAGGGGTTGCAGGTGTTCATGAAGATCCTGTGGTCACTTTCGCTGCAATCCATGCAACTGCCACTGACGGGGTGGAACAGGGTCTTGTCCTGCAAAATACAAAGGTCATCAGCCAGGCAGCACTGGGGACCATGAGCAAACAGCAGTGGCGGGACCAGCAACGAGGCAGTGAGGCAGGGACTGGCCAGTCCCCCACAGAACCGTGTGGCTTTCCTCCTGAGTGTGCGGCGAGACACTGCCCTCCTCCCTTGCAGTGGACATTGCCACGTGCCTGCGTCATCGCGTTCACTGGGATGTAGGCACAAGTTCAGCAGCACATCTGAGCCTGTGCCCTAGTCACTGCCTGCCTCCAGTCAAGTTCCATTGGTCTTCACCGTGTGTGTGTGTGTGTGTGTGTGTGTGTGTGTGTTTAATGGGCTCAGTTGCTAACATTTAAGATTCTAGAGATTTTACAAAAAATCTGGATTTCTGTCTTCTCTTGAACATCTAGAAAGTTGGGCATGGCAGGCTAGTGGAGCACGTGCAGGACTGAGCGGGCTCTGTTGGGAGGAGGTGGTGCTACTCCCCTCCCTCCCTCCCTCCCTCCCTCCCTCCCTCCTTCCTTCCTTCCTTCCTTCCTTCCTTCCTTCCTTCCTTCCTTCCTTCCTATCAGGCAGGCGCCCCATGCCCCCACTTGTCCCGTCTTACTTTTCGGTATTTCCACAGCTGGTTGCCCTTCATGCTGTGGCAGTCGTACAGGGTCACAGGGCTGGTGTGGGAGATGGCGTCGAAGCAGAACTTCTTGGTGTGCTGGGGGTCCCCAGGCCGGATGTCCTCTCTCCAGGTGAAGGTGAACACCTGCACACACAGGGACATGGGAGAGGGATGGCAACGCGAACGGACTTGCTTTTTTTTTTTTGTAATTGCAGAAAAACTTAAATACAGAGGCCCAGAAAAAGGGTATATCGACCACGTCTGTCCCCATCACCCAGCTTCAACAATCACCAACTTGTGGCGAATCTTGCTCTGACCTTACCGCCACTCCCACCTTATTTGGAAGCCAATCCGCCATATCGTGGCCTTGGGCAGGTCAGAAGTATTCGCCAGGGAGAACTGCCACCACTGACAGCAGCCATCCAGAAAGGACGAGGGGGACTGCAAGCCCTTCAGAGGCGCTCTTGCGAGTGTGCTGTGCCTTCCGACCTCTGTTTTTGCCCAGGACCCGCCCTACAGTCTTATCTCAGCCTAACTTCCAAAAATGCCAGCAAATCTACAGTAAGGGGGCTGTAAAAAATGCTTCCTGGAGCCAAGATTCAGAGGACGCCGTGTGATTTAGCGTCGGGGTTAACTGCTTGGAGGACAGAATCACCGGAGCTGAATTCCCCAGAGTGGTGGCTTTTCCGGCAGCGTGGGCTGGCACTCCCCGTTCTTCTGAGAACATCTCCTGGGGGGCCAGCCCGGCCTCTCCCCCGCTTCTCCTTCAGGAGAGGCTCACCTTGCCCCAGCCTGCAGGGCGAGCATGTGACTTTGGTCCGATCAATATGAGGACCGCATCACATCCCCACTGCAACTGGCGCAGGAAAGCCAACATGTGTGGGCTTCTCCACAGCTCTGGGAAGGGGCAGGCGTTCCCACTGGGGGCTCTGGCGTCTCCCCTGCCACCACATGGGAAGAGGCAGGCTGCCAATGAAGCCGACAGAGAGGGAAGCAGGGCTGAGATCTTGGACAGATCCTGACGACATCATCATCTAGGTTTCAGTGACAGAGCCAGCCACTCCTCTTTTTGTTGAAGGCCGTTTGCACTGTGTTGCCAGCATCTGCGACCAACAGTTCGCGGTGGTGGTTTAGCTGCAGTAGGAAGGATTCCTCTGCCAAAGTGCTCAGCAAGCTTTTGTAACTCGTGCCCTGGGGTGACTTCTGTCACTCGGCATTGACTGCGGCCTCTCCCTGCCTGTCCCTCCCACGGAGCCCAGAGAGCCTGGCTGCCAGCCCCCGGGAGTGGCCCTTACCTGCATGTTGTTCCAGGCGGCCTCCCCGCGGCCCCGGACGCAGCCCTCCAGCCTCAGCGGGGAGCCCAGGGCCCCATGCTTCGTGTCCGCACACAGCCCCGTGCCCACGTTGCGGATCTGGACCGGAAAGAGGGAAAGGGTGGACCGGTGAGGCACCTCAAGATTCCCTCTGGGTGGGGGTGGAGGAGGGAGCCAAAGCAGAGACATCAGACGGGCTGAGCTCTGACCCGTCCTAACCGAGCCAGGCCTGGAGGGTGGGGGTGGGGTGGGGGCAGTGCCTGGGGCCCTCACAGAGGAGTTCTCAGCCCACAGGGAGGAGCTCCCCATCACCCCGCCTGTCCTCTGACGGTCCCCTGTCATAAGTAGGGCAGGCAGCTGGGGCAGGGTGGGACGGGGCCAGGAGGTGAGCCGGTGTTAAATCCTCCACCCCTCTCTCAGAGAATTCGATCCCTCTCCCCATTACATCCATGTACACGTGAGTGGGTGCCCTGAGCCTAGCGCCCCAGGAGCTAGGAGCCGGTGACCGAGCGCTTCTCTTAGGGAAGACTGTCTGCTTCCTCCAGCAGGGCTGGCTTCGTGGGCGTGGGCCCTGAGCAGTCACCCAGGGTCCCTCGCTCAGAAGGGCCTGTGCTGGATTAAAGCTCGCTCTCTCTGTCTTAAAATCTTTCACAGTTTATCTTTGAACTTGTAGGTGAAATCTGAGGGGACATGGGAGCAGGCCTGTGAGCAGAGGTGACACAGGCTATGCGAGCATCCACCTCCCTTTCTGCTGCATTTGCCTACAATGTCTGAGGCGCCCAGAATTCCGGGGCCCATACCGGGGAGAGCTCAGCAAGGCTCAGAGCGGGTGTGTGCGCTCGGACTGTGAGTGAGTGGGGGCTGGAAAGGAGGCCGCGCTTTTCTTTCCGCCTGGAAGGTGCTTTGGCTGAAGGGCCTTCTAAGACACAGGATGGACCCAGGAGCTCTATCCTTTCTTACCTGCGTTACTTCCCTGGATTAGCCAATCACTTAAGCAGCAGATTACCCAGAAGGCAAGTACAGGGTCACCCATAGATTTTTTCCCTTCAGTTCTACCTCCCTCATCAGGAAGCCCAAGGCAGAGAGTGAAATAAGACCAGCTTAGTTCATTTTGTGCAGTGTTTTTCCCCTGTTCTGGTAAGAAATACACATATGTTTGAAATACAAATGGTAAAATTTCACCGATTCTGCACATGCGTTAAATGCCCCTCTGTGCACTTAAAGTTGGCAGTGCAGAACGTAAAGGCAAATGGCAAAATTCATGCTGATCATTTAAAGGTTTATTTTTTCTCTACTTGGGTCATTTAACAGCAAAAACAAAAACAAACAAAAAAACCCCACCCCAAATCAACAAAAAACACAAGGCTAGAAAGCTAGACCAGGAAAGACAAGAACAGGTTTTATATTTTATACCTTTATCAGCACTTTTCCTTGTTTTGCCTTGTGAACAGGGGTCCGCCTGTGCATTTGGCACTACACCCCAATACTGCAGCCGGCCCTGTCCTCCATACTTACCTCCCCCCAAGCAGCGGCCGGGGGCTCCACGGGCGGGTAGAATTTGGGCAGGTCCCAGGCGATCTTGGTCATGAACCACTTGAAACTCTTGCAGTTAAGGGAGCTGCGCAGTTTCTTCTGGGCGGCCACGTCCCCAGCGGAGAGGTGGCGGTACTCAGGCCGGCGCTGGTAGATGTGCTCGGCGTACTCGTCCATCCACACTTCCGCCACTCGTTTCAGGTTCTGGAGGAGCGACAGGCAGGTACAAGGGTCAGGCGCTTTGAGGGGCCCAGGCCTGGGTGTGGGGTGCAAAGGGTTCTGGAGACCGAGGCCAATCTTTCTTTACACTGTTGCGTCAATCGCCCTAGCCCCACTGCGGGTTTAAGCCTTCTCTACATGTAACACTTACGCGTGTTTTAAGGGATTTACAACTACAGTTGAGTAACAGGCTGCTGCTGCTCTGCGGGCCCATTTCTCGTTTCCTTTTTTTAGCGATAGGCGCCCACTGGGCTTCCTTTGGGGACCCACCTCTGCCTCACTGTTCCGTGGCAAGGGGCTCAGCCTGGCTACGGGGAATAGGCAGACCTGGGCAGTCACTGGGATTGGTCAGTGACCACGTGACCTAAGCCAAACCAATCAGAACCAACAGGCAGTTATTAGCCCTGGCATTTCTGCGGGAACCGCGGGGAAGAACTGCTGCGTTTCTGCCCGGACTGCAGGGTGCGCTGCGACGGGTAGGATGCCAGCCAGAGCAGCTGGGGCTACACGGGAAGCCTGTCCAGGGCGGAGGCCGACCCAGAAATAGGCCGCAGGGAGGAATGCCTTCCTCCTTTTGGATCCGGCCTGTCCGACGCCCACGCCCCCTCAGGACTTTGTGCCTGCAGGCGGCAGTGAAGCCCCTTTCTGCTTGAGCCACTTAGAGCTGGGTTTCTGTCATTTTCAACCGGGAGTGCTGACCAAGTTGCACGGTAAAAACAAATTATACTTAACCACCAAAAGAATTCCATCATCAGCTGGAATTTGAAATAATGTTTTGAGGTGGGACAGCTGCTATTTTTATTATGAAGCGCAAAGATAATCAGTAATAAAAAGAAATGACAGCCACATTATTGGCAAATAGAGGCACCGACGGGGAAACATCCTCTTTGTGAGCAGACCTGAAGGTAGAGGAAAAGTCCATTCTGCTTAACTGGGATGAACGTTCCTCCTTCCATCTGCCTTGTAGACACCACCTGCTGAGAGCCTCTGAGGCTGGCTCTGGAAGAACACAACTCCAGGGTTCAGGGGAAGTTCCTGCTTCCAAACACCTCCCACTAACCCTGGCCGTTGCCAGAAATCGCCCCCCCCCCCCCCCCCCCCTGCAAAACACACATTGAAGTCTCCAGGCTTTCTCTCTATCATAAATTTTTTTCCCCTTACTGTAATCCAAATGTTCTTCTGAAGGGTAAAAGGGAGTCAGCACTTAGACTGTTATCAGTCATTCACACCTCAGTGTAAATGACTGCTCTAAGGCAGGGCAGGGTTGGCAAATGCTTTCTGTAAAGGGCCAGATAGTAAATATTTTGGGCTTTGCAGACCATATGATCTCAACTCTGATGATGTAGCTATAAAGCAGCCCGAGACACTATGTAAATGAGTACGTGTGGCTGTGGTCCAATAAAAGTATATGGACATTGAAATCTGATTTTCATGCCCTGGCTGGCCAGCTCAGTTGGTTAGAACATTGTCCTGATACACCAGGGTTGTGGGTTTGATCCTCGGTCAGGGAACATACAAGAAGCAACCAATGAATGCATTAAGAAGTGGAACAACAAATTCCTCTCTCTCTCTCACTTTAAAAAATATTTAAAAAAATTTTTTATGTGTCACAAAATAATCATCTTAGCGCAATGGGCTACACAAAAACAGTTTGGTGACTCCTGAGTGAGGAGGTAAAAAGCCAACAGGAGGGCGGCCCTGGTACCAGTGACAAAATTCACCAACTTCTCAATCGTGTTGGCTCTTCCTTGAAAATAAGGGACCAGGAAAATAAGGGACCCTTACTACCACCTCCTTCCTCCTGGGAGCTGAAGAGGTCAAGAGTGGGCTAGAAAATAGCTCAAGGACGGTGTCATCCTCAGCAGGCCCAGGAGCCTGAGACCCCCTTCCTGGCTGCCCACCCAGGTTGTTTGGCTCACTGTTTCATTTGCTCAAGCCACAGGCAAGGGAGGCCAATCTGACCAGGGAAAGGTGCCGAAATTCACCACTCTTATTCGTAAAGGATCAAACCACATAATATTTTAATTTTAGTTGATATTTATATGACTGTTTTAATGAATCTTGCATTTTCCAGCTATGACTTAATATGCCATTCCTACCGGATCTTGAACTTTTGTACAGCCAGCTGTCTGGACCAGCGTCAAGGGCTTTGCATCTGTCTCTACTGCATCTCCCCTGGGGAGAGTCGTGAAAAGGGCCCTGGGGTTTCAGAGGGCTGTGCAGTCAATCCTCTCATCCCCCTAACACCTTCCTAGTTCTGGGTCCCAGACCTGCCCTTCTTGGGCTTGGAGTACAGAGGCTCGCCTGATTCTTGGAGTAAGTCTCCAGTTTTGCCAGGTTTGAGTGGGTGTATGCCACCGCCTTCCCTAAGATGCCTTTCCTGGGGGAGGGATAAGGATTTCAGCACAGTAAGTGAGCCGGTGAAGGCTGGCTGCTTGTCCTGGGGGCAGGCACGCGGGAGGGCGGGCAGCTGCTCCTGCCTGCATTGCTACGACGGAAGGAGGGTAGTTAGACATTAAGTTCAGCTCTTGGGGAGCGTCCATCAGGCAGCTCCGGGGCCCTGCAACCTTGCGTGGGGCGCCACTCGGATTGGCAGTTCAAAGGCACAGGAGACTGAGCCAATGTAGACAAAAGAAGTGAACGTGTATAAACACAGAATTCAGGTGAGACGTTGAAATAAACTTCCCAGTCTTGCTAATGCTGATGCCTATACAGACATTGGTACTAAGATTAGCAATCATTATTTCAGGGGCAAAAGCTCTGTCCCAGGCACCAGTCCCGACCTCAGGGGGTTTTGAATTCTGACTCTGTACTTAATGTCTCTATGTTTCACTTTCCTCATCTCAAAAATGGGGATTAAAAACAGGTGAGAATTAAGTGAAATAAGCATGTAAGACGCTTTGCGAGATGCCTAGCTCATAGAAGTTTTTATGTGTTACTACAGTTAGCCGTTGCCCACTGAATCTATCTGCGGTTCCATGAGCAGGAAGAGGCGCCTCTTCACCAGGCGGCTCTAGAAATGACAGCTCTGGGTAGGGAAAGGATGCTTTGGGAATGGTTCTCTTCAGGCATCAGAGGCACCCCCGAGACCCCACCGTCCCTCATAGCTGGAAGGGTCGGTCTTGGCTTACTGAGCCGCTTTGCCCCGCTTTCCTGCCTGACACCTCTGAAACTGCAAATTGTATTATTTCAGGTGAATCGCGATTCCTGCCTCTCCTGCTGAACCTAGAACTCGCCCCCAGGTCGGCTGGAGCTGTCCAAAGCGCAGCTGGCTGGTGCGGGTGGCTGTTGTTGCAACCTTACACCACGAGGGGGCACTGCCGGCTCTCTTTTCCTTCAGTCCCGCCTCGTGGCCCCTTGGCCCCCTAGCAAGCCGCCTCCGGAGATAGGTCCCCGTCCTCGGAAGGAGGCGGGGAGACCTGCCGCCTGTTGAGCGTCTCAGTCTTCTTGTAAATCGCAGGACAGGAATCTTCCGGGAGCCAGGGGCTATAATCCTGCGCGTCGTCCACTGTCAGGTGATGGGGGAGAGGGAGGCAGCGGCCTGGGCCGAGGAGGCTGACGCCGACAGGCTTACAAGGGGCGCTCTGTTGGGCGGTGGAGGCTTGGGGTGGGGTGTCCCTGCGGGCAAAGCAGTGCGGGTGACCTTCCCAGCTTCCCCCAAACCTCCCTGCAACCCTCTTTACCCTCTGGAGACACTCCCTTCTCTTCCGTTTTCTTTTGTGGTCACCTTGATTTTATTTTTCTCAAGACACTTAATATTTTAAACATGATTATTAAAGTCTAGTGAAGTATCACTCAGGCAACCTCCCCCTTAAGAAACCCCCCAAAATAAACAAAAAACAAACCTCTGGCTAACAGATTTCCATTTATAGCCAGCAGCCAATTTAATTCAAGCGATGATGAATACAAGCCATTTGAAGGCATGAAATAGTTTGACACAGAATTTTTGGCAATAAAAGTGGGGACAGGTGGGGAGAACAGAAAGACGTTGACGTTTATTAACTGTCCCTGTGCCAGGAACTTTTAAGTACCTTGTCTCAGGCTTTCCCAAACACACCACTCAACCTGCATTAATATTTATGTAAAATGTTCCTTTAAATCACCCTGGTACAACTCTGTACCTGCTTTAGTTTTATCCTATTTAATGATGTCCATGAAATCACAAGTTCGCTACACGAATACACGTTAACTTCTAATCCACATAATTTAAACACATGTAAATAGAAACGTTCTTATGTCTACCGCCTCAAATCACCCTGTCCGTCACACCTGGGAAAACGGCGCCATCTCCTTAGTCCTGGCAACACTGAGCTGGAAACAATTTAGACAGAGGCCAAAACACAGGCTCAGAGGAGTGAAGCAACCTCCCAAGGTTGCACAGGTAGCAAGTAGGTAAACAGAGCTTTACGTTCTTTCACACTGGATTTCACCGGGCCAGCGGTAGGGTGGCATACCTACGGGTCATTTGGTACCTGGGGTTCCGGGTGCCAATCCCCCCACCCCAAAGGAAAGCCGGCAGCTTACCCGGGCCAGGCTGACGCCAGCAGGGACTTTGTAGGGTACGTACTTCCTGTAGATATGGCCCACCCTGGAGCAGGGGATATCCTCCATGCGGCCCCCACACATCCACACCTGCAGGGTGAGAAGGGAGAGAGAAGGTGACATTTCTGCGTCCAACTCATTGTCCCCTCCTTGGTGCATTCATCCAAAGCATCAGCTTGGGTTGTCTACTAAAAACCCATTCGCAGAACGAGGTATGGAGGAAAACACAGTGATAACAACAGTATCAACAGCTGACAGCACCGACTGCTTACTCAGGGCCAGACGCCATGCTATGAGCTCCTCATGCACAACTGCAGCTAAGCCCCGTCAGCACCTACAGAGGCGGCGGTGCAGAGCTCCGTTTCATAGATGAAGAAACGGAGACTCAGAGCAGCTCAGGAGCTTGTCTGAGGCCACAGGGTTAGTAAGTGGTGGAGCCAGGATTCACACCCGACTTCAGCTGACTCTGGAGCCTGAGCTCTAGACTCCTGCGGATGCCTGTGACGTCTACTGACTGTGGCATTGGATTCTGGAGGCTCCTCTGGATCTGTATGCCTCTTGCTGGGTCATCCTGAGCAGTGACTTCTCTGCACTCTGCTCGGTAAGCCTTGCGGCTGGGGGCGGCTGCGGGTTTGGGGCGGGGACCTGATGCTTCTCCCTCCATCCTTGGCATTATGAAGAGCTCCTGCGTTTGGCTGCATGATAGTCTGACAGCACATGGAGAATTCTTAGTAAGTTGCACAATCAACGCTGACTCACACCCACAGAGGGGCCCAGCCTAAACAGACCCTCCTTGTCAGTCCTGGGTTCAAATCCTGCCTCAGCCACTCCTCAGCTTTGTGACTTGGATCAAGGTACTAACTCCTCCAAGGCTCAAGTTTCCTCACCCGTAAAGGGTTCATGGAGGTGGGCCTGGCGGATGAGATTCTGCATGGGGAATGTGCTTAGCAAAGACGTGGCACACAGACACCGCAGCGTTACATGCTGCAGCGAGCCCCTTGTCCATCTAACTGCCATCTATGGAGTATCTGCTGTGCGCAAACACTGGCTGAGCACGCAGGGCGGCGAAGAAGTCAGCCAGGGTCTCCCGCTCTCACAGAGCGGGTGTGGCACAGCCTCCAAGATGGCCTCCCAGGGATCCTCGCCTCCTGGTATTTGCACCCCCGGTAGTTCCTTCCCAAGTGGGTCACCTGAGGACTGACCTGGTAACCAACAAGATACTGTAGAAACGACAGGGCTCCCAGCTTATTCCCTGGGCTCACTGCTTTGGGGCACTCAGGCAGCCCTGTGGAGAGGTCCAGGTGGGGGAGCTAAGGCGTCCTGCTCACAGCGCTAACTTGCCAGCCACGGGAATGAGCCACCTCAGAAGCTGAGGCCCCAGCCCCAGAAAAGCTGCCGGGTGACTGCAGCCCTGGCTGCCACGCGGCCTAAACTTCCAGCCAGACCCAGGCAGAGCCATCCTGCTAAGCCACTCCCAAATCCTTGACCCACACAAAACTTCTGGATAACAACTGTTTATTAGTGCTTTAAAACGCTGTGCTTTGGGGGGCACTTTCAGAAGGTGGTATGTGTTATAAGGAAGCCACAGAGAGGTCCTTGGATAGACTCACTGTACAGCTGTGTGGGCTGCCGTCGCCCACGCCTGTCAGGGACGGCCTCGTCCAGCGGGGGGAGTTGAGGCAAGTCTTAGATGATGAGAAGGTAAAAGTGACATAAAGATCTGATGGGCGAGAGAGCAGGTGGCGAGACGAGCAAGTGCAAAGGCCCTGAGGTAGGGCCTTGGCATCATCACTTGGAACAAAGCCAGCCAGAGGCCTGGCGCAGAGGGCGAAGCGATGGGTGGCGAGGCCAGAGAGGTGAGTGGGGACAATCATAAGGGTCTCAAAGGGCAGAATAAGGAGTCTTCGCTGAACGTCCTCAGTGAGGGAGACGATGTCATCCAGTTTCTGTTTCACAAAGGGGGCTGGCTGCCTGTGCCGTGGACGGCCAGCAGGGCACAGGCCCGGGGGAGGGGCGGGCCGGGAGGCTCCTGCAGGTGCGAGGCCGTCCCTGCTGTGGTGATGGTGGGACACAGCTGGATTCGCGACATGATCCTCCTTCCGGTTACGGTATGTGTCCTCATCTGTGGAATGAGGAGGAGGAGTGGGGATGCCTACAACGCCAATTCTGTGCAAGAGTCTTTCTCAGCTTGAACTGCTCAATGGGAAACGGGATTTGGTTAACGTCTTGATTATGTCAGGGGCTCGAGAAGGGCCACTATTCTTTCTGCTTCATGCACCTGGGGGTTCTCAGACCTCCATGACCCCCCCGCCCCAGCAGCTCTCTCCATCCCTCCCTAGATGTCCTCTGTCTCGGGCTTTCCGCAGGGGGATCTGTATGTACGGGCCGCAATTAGTGAAAGTGCTGCCTGGAGAAATGCAATTATATTCTGATCTTGGGGGAGAAAAAAAGACCGAGTAAGTCAATAGAACAGAACATTGGTCTTGAGATAATGGGCTCCTGATGGTAGATTAATGTCAAGGCCAAGCCAAGAAGTTTATTTTCAAAGCAGGAGATATTGATCAGGCGCCAGGATCCCATAACAATAACTCTTCTTTTATACATAGTGATTGATGTGGAAGTGATGCTTTCGTCTGGCGGGCATTGCCCAGGACGCTGCTGGGCTGCCCCTGTCTTTCAGGAGGTGGAGTGTGCTGTGCGCAGGTGGGGGACACCTTACCCTGCGTTTTTGAACGTCTCCCAGGCGGTTGGCTAGGCAGGCGGCCCACTCTCCCAGCTCCATATTAAACTCGCATTAGCTAACGAGGCTGCATCTCCAGCTCTGCCTGGCAAGGAACCTTCCGTAATGCAGATGGATGATCAATTTCCAAATCCTTTTCTCTGCTGTGACCTCGGGTTTCTTTGGCGCTGACCATGCTGCCATCAGCCTGAAGGTTCCCGAGGGACTAGGGTGACCTTCATCTGCTGGGAGGGATGTCTGGGGCTTGAGGAGTCCTGGCTGCCCTGCCCTGGCCTGGACAGGATGCACTGACAGCTGACTCAGAATGGGAGCTGCCTTGAGAGGGACAGACACACCGGTTCAGGCAAAGCTGTTGCCAACTCCCGCGTCCTTTGGGAGCACCCGCGCAGCCTGGCAAGAGCCCAGTGCGAGGCACACCCAGCCCTTCAGAGCTCCCTCCACCACCCGGAAGGCATCTTACACAGCAGCCAATGCCCCCAGGGTGTTCACTGGTTACATGGCAGGACCCCAAGTCTGGAGGGGGCTCTCCTTCCAAGGACATGGTAAGAACTGGAGGCAAAGAACAGTGTCCTGATTCACCCTGGGCTGGGGAGCTGGTCAGAGCTGGTCCTGGGTCCCAGTCGCGTGGCTCTGCGCATCGCCCAGGTCCCCTACCTATGTACCTTCAGGGCCCTCCCCCACTTCCTTCACAGCTGAGGCAGCAGCCACTCAAGACCCACAAACACCATGGCCTGGGAGCGATGAGCACACACCATTCTCTGGTCCCAGTGCCACCTCGGGCAGCTGTGGGTCCTCGCGTGAGGCATCCACCTGGGGAGCTGCCCTCTCCTCCTCTGCTGCCTGCCCTTTGACCCAGCACCATCATGTTTTTTTGTCCTATTGCCCAATTTCCCAGATGGAGAAACAGAGGCTCAGAGAGAGAAAGTAGCCTTTTTAACTGAGTTGGTGGCAGAACCTGCAACTGAGCAGAAGAATGACAGTGTCAGGTGGGGGGTGGGCAGTCACGGGGCACCACTGGGGGCCAGGCGCCCCAGGGTGTTCTCCTCTGCCCAGGTGACACGCTGGCACAAGGGTCCAGCTGGTTGGTGGGAGGGAGGAGGAGTCGCAGTGCTGGCTGCAGCCAGAATCACGTTTGGTTGGGAGCCCGTCATATTTGGGTGGAGACAAATACAGGCCACTGAGATGACGCTTTTGCAGCCCCTCTGCTGTCAGCGTTCTGCCCCATCCCAGCACGCCCCCCACCCCCGGCTCTGGCAGCCTCGCTGTGTCACCCTGAGGAGCTTTCCACCCAGCCTGGCAGCTCGGTGCTTGGTGCCCCCCACCCCCCGCCCCCTGGAACAGCCTTCTCCCTGGAAGCACCATGCCACTAGACAAGTACAAATCTAATTGTAAAAGCTTGCTCCCTATTCATTTTCATTGCTGCTTTGATTTATTTTATTAGCAAACTTCTTTTGTGTGATGACAGGCTTCATTACAGTGTCTATAAAAGACAATTACTTGCTCTTATCTCCTAAACTGAGGAGGGAAGAGACGAGTGGTGATGTGCATCAGGAAGACACAATGGGACCTGGGGGGAGAGGGCGCAGTGGAGAGAGGGCCGAGGGGGGGCAGCAGGAGCCTGAGCGGCAGGGGCGGGGGAGGAGCGTCTCTCGGTCAAGGAAATGGCTGCCTGGAAACCAGCCAGGAATGGGACGGCCATCCCGCTGGGGAGGGGACGGCAGCCAGCCCCGCCTCCTTCTGTTGGCGCTGGGGCTGAGGACCCCTGTGGAGTTCAAGCCCTATTCAGTTGCACTTTGGGGGAGTAATATGATAACAATCACCATTGATTAGTCTGCGTGATCTGTGTGCCTAGGAGGAACATACGGCGGCTGCCGGGAGAGTGGTCCGGAGTTAGACGAACTGAGGTCTAAGCCAGCTCCTAGGCAATTTTCGTGAGCCCGAAAGCCTCAGTTTCCTCATCTGCAAAACAGGATGGATTGTTGTGTCCACCTCGTAGGGTTGTGATGAGGCTGAAGGGAGGTGATCTGGAGCACAGAGAACGCGGAGCCAGCTGCCTGGCGTTCCCGGCAGCTGTCGCTACTGGTGGGGGCACTGCGCGCACGCCACGCCAGTCCCCTCGGGAAAGGAGGAATGGCATTAGACCCAGAGGCCCAGCGAGGGCAAATGCCGTCCCCCCGGTCCCTGAGCTCACAGACGGCAGAGCCCAGGGTGGAATCGGGTTGGGTCCTCAGACCTGGGTGGATCGGAGGTCGCTAAGGAGATCGCACCTTCCCGGGTTAATCTTCCCAAAGCCTGGCCCTGACCCTATCATGCTCTTCCACAAGGACCCCTGTCAGCACTTGCACTGCCT